AACAATGAGAGGTAGTGGTCGCAGATAGCGCCACTACCTAACAATGCAGATCTCGTCAAGCTTTCGGAACTGAAACACTTTTTTCCAAGTAAAAACTGTTCTTTATCGAAGGTGTGGCGAGTTGAAAGGTCTTATCAGTAGGTGTGTCGCATTTACATCAACAAGGGGAAGGTCCTTGGGTGTTTCTCTGGGATTTCAATCAAACCTATGTGGGTTTGGGAAGTCAAGTGTTAATATCTCAAATATAGCAAAGTTAGCGGCTGAGATTGATCCGTTGAAAAATTTGGAATAAAAACATTTTTAGCTTAGAACCCTGAGAAGGACCACACATGAATTTTTTACACTAAACAAAGTTCACAAAAATTGAAATACTGGTAACTCACCTCAGTTTTTAATGCTGATTTCAAATATGTTATTGAATTTTACTCATGCTGTACTGTCTCACCGAAAGTTGAAAATCATGTGGGTGTGGATGTAGATACGGTTGTAGACATGAATGATGACATTCCTACCACACACACACACACACACACACACACACACACACACACACTGTTTGTAATTAAGTAGAAGCGAATCATTTGTATTTGAGTGCTTCGATGAAAGTCAGGGAAACTGAATTTTGTTTGTGTAGTAGATTTTTCGATTCTTACTGTTCGATTAGATGTAAGAGTGAAATATAATCCGTAGAAATGCCGTCAAGCTTCAACCGTCTTTCAAGAAATCCAACATATTTGTCATGAAAAAAAGAAGTCTGCTAGTTCAATAAACAATTATTTAACCACTTTCTGCTTTCTATTCGTCGACGTAGTGTCCCTAAATAAGGTGAGTGTTGGAAAGAGAAATTTGCAAACTTACATTGCGACAAAACATGTGGAGTCCAATAAAGTTGATTAATACCTTTATTTCATTATTGAACTCAGATTCCTCTCCTTTTTCACTAAAGCTGAGAATCTTCACTAACCTCAAGTTTTATCTAATATTATAAAATGCGTCGTCAATAATCGCCTGAATCGTTGCTGTAGTGTGAACTGTCGAGAAGCAAAATTTTCAGTGTCGTGAAACATCGTGAAGTATCAGTTTTCCAGACAAAAAATCTACATTGCGAAAGCAATGCGTTTGCTCGATTTCATTGAAATTAGAACATTTACAAAACTGAGTCTTTTGTATCCTTTTTGAAGAGCAGAGGAGGGGATTGACCTAGAGCTCATGAGATATCTGAGTGTAAAACAATTTTTACTGAATGATGCGAATGAATTGTACAATAATTCAAAAAGAAATCTCATTCTATCATAATAGTGTTCTTCATAGGTTCTAGCAGCAGTATCCAAGTTCTCAGGAATCGGGAATTCGTTTGGAATTGGGAACTCAAAAATGAATGAACTAGAACAAGTGATGATAAAGCAAAGCATATCAGTTTATTATTATACCCGTACCTCACTGGTATAGGGTGAAGATCAAAAAATACATGATATAAAAAGAAAAAGAAAAAGAAAAAGTTTGAGTTTGTGTCCACACAAGTGTGAATGTTCGTTCGGTTGATTTCGTGATCGATCGTCGTAGAGTCGTAGAACCAGGCGCAGTTTTCCAATTATAACCTCCAGACCTTGTGAGCCTAGTTTGAGTTATATTCATCATGATGTGCCAGGTAAATTGATTCAGCTTTTTCATATAGCATCATTTCGTTGAAATTCCATTTTTTGTGCACCATTTCTTTGCACACGACTTGATATGTCCAGTAATACCTTGAGGCTTGAACAGTCTCCCTGAACACTTTGAATTGGGGCATGTATACGTACCATCTAGATTCTTGAGACCTTGTTTAGCTAGGACGTCGATGATCTTTGGTGGAGAAGGTGCGTTTGTTGTTGCTCGTCGTTGTTGTGATTTTTGTTTGTATTGTTGTACGACTTCTGCAATGTTTGAGGAAGGTATGTTTGAGTGAACATATTTGTTGATTGTATCTCGCCATTTGTCACGATTAAGTGTTTCTCGTCGCCAATTCCGAATATTCAATTTCTCTACATCTTCGCTGATTTTATCTTGCCATTTTTTTCGGTTACCGAAATTTCGTGGTTTGACTGTTTGAGGAAAGTATGCAAACATGGCTTTTTTGACCATTGATGGTACGTTGTTTTCTGTTTGCATCCTGTTTGCGTGTCCCAACCAACGAAGCCGATTTCTACTGAGGATATTGCTTAGATGTGGTTGTCCAGTGAGTTGTAGAAGTTGTTCGTTTGGCATACGGTCATCCAAATTGATTCCAATTATAGTTCTGAGGCATTTGAGATAGAAGGTATTGAGACGTTGTTCTTGTGCTGCTGTTGTTGACCATATCTCACTGCCATAAAGGAGAACCGGAAGAACGCAAGCGCGAAAAATTCGCAATTTTGCTTGAATGGAAACGGTTTTTCTACACCAGATAACATGACGTAACATATTGAACGCTCTTGAGGCTTTTGCAAGACGAGTTTCGAGTTCTTTCTCGATCGATTGATCTCTTGTTACACAACATCCGAGGTAACGAAAATCGTTGACAGTTTCAATTTTTTCGTTCCGAATGGTTATTGTCAGATTTTGGTTGCCAATTTCTTGATCTTTGATGACTTTGTTTGTTATAAGATCTTGTTGTAGTTGTTTGAGGGACATGACGCATGTTTTCTTTACACTCATTGTGAGTCCGAATTGTTGTGTCACTTGTTCAAAGCATTGAATGAAGAGTTCCAGATCAGTGGCATTGTTACACATCATGACCAAGTCATCAGCATATAGCAAGAGGAGGATTTCCAAATCTATATAGTTATCACTTGCAGGATGAAAGAAGTCGTTACTACCATACGCCATTTTGATTCCAGTTATACCGAGAAGTTTTACCTGTTCAATGACACGACGCATGATGAAGTCGAATAGGACGTTGAAGAGGATGCAGGAAGGAATTCCACCTTGTTGAACGCCAGAATTGATATCAAATGGATCAGAAATTTCTCCATTTATTCGAACTTGTGCTTTGGTGTCCTGGTAAAGAAGTATGAGCATTTGAACAATCTTGTCAGTAAGACCGTAATGGCGACATATTTGCCAAAGAAGAGTACGATCGACGGAATCATAAGCTTTCATAATGTCGATGAAACACATATGAAGGGGCTTGTTGTTGTTGTGAGATTTCTCCTTTATCATTTTGAGAATGAATATCTGATCGATTGTTGAACGATTTGATCGAAAGCCAGCTTGTTCTTCTAATAGTTGTTTGTCCAGAAGGCCTTGTACTCGATTGAGAATGATTCTAGAAAAGATCTTGCTTGTTACGACTAAAAGAGAAATTCCACGATAATTGTCACAAATCTTTTTATCACCCTTATTCTTATATAGTCGGATCAGTATTGCAGTTGTCCAATCTTTGATCATTATTTCATTTTCCCAAATATCAACGAAGATCTCGTGTAACCATTTTGCCATTGGAAGACCACCAGCCTTGATAACATCTATAGAAATTCCATCGTTTCCAGGAGCTTTGCCATTTTTCATTTGCTTGATTGCACACTGCACTTCACTAAGGGTAGGAGTTTTGTCTTGACGTCGTTGCTCACTTGTGGTAATTGTTGCGGGAGGGATTTGTTGAATTGTTGTTTGGTCGACGATGGATGGTACATTTAAAAGGTCGTTAAAATAGTCTTTCCAACGATTGAGTCTTTCTTCTGAGTTTGTTAGGAGACATCCTTGTTTGTCGAAGATTGGAAAATTTTCGATTTTTGCTCGCCCGCCTCTCAGACGTCGAATAATTGCATAGGCAGTTGCTGGATCATGTTGCTTGATGGCATTTTCAATTTCCATACTGAGTTCGTCCCAATATTCCACTTGTCGTGCTTCGATTTTCTTTTTGGCCAAATTTCGAAGGAGACAATAGCTCTTGCGATATTTTGCTTCGAGAGAAGTGCCACGAAAATTTTGCCAATCTAGAAATGCTTTTGCTTTTTTGTCAACAACGTCGAGGATTTCATCTGTTAACCATTCCTTGTATTTTCTGCCATTTCCATCTTCTTGGAAAATTGATCCACTTGTTTGACGTACATAATCAACAAAATTGGTATACTTTTGATCGATGGTTTGAGGAGAATATGTTGGTTGTTGGAGTCGTTGGTTTAATTGGGCTTGAAATGCCATTTTCAATTGCTCATTTTTGAGTTTTTTTCGATCTACACGTAATAGTTGATTTTTGATTATTTTTCTTCGACTGTTCAGATGGAACTTGAGTTTGATGCGGAGAAGGTGATGATCAGTTCCGATTACTCCAGCTGCTGTGCGATGCACTCGAACATCTTCGACGCTTGAGCGAAATTTCTTGTTGACTAGGGTATAGTCCAACATATGCCAGGTCTTGCTTCCAGGATGCATCCAGCTTTTTTGATGAACAGGTTTGTGTTGAAAAAACGTGTTACACATAATAAGGTTGTTTATAGAGCAAAAATCGACGAGATGTTCGCCATTGTCATTTATGGTATCTACAGCATGTGGACCAACGACATTGCTACTTGTACGATGTTGTTCCTGACCTACGCGAGCGTTGAAATCACCAATAATGAGGAGCATGTCGCATTTTGGTACTTTGTTGATTGTTTTTTGTAGATCTTCATAAAAAGGATCAGTTGTTGAGCCGGCTTGCTGCTGATTTTTTGGGTTGATAGGTGCATATATAGCGATGACGGTAACGTTGATTGGTTTGCTTGCGAGACGAATCATAACAATACGTTCATTGACGGCTTCCCAAGTTGAACCAAGGTTTTTCCATGCTGTTGTTGCTTGCTTGTTAAGAACTATTGCTACTCCATGAGCTGAGCGAGTTTTGTCTGCACTTGAATGGCCCGAGTAGATGAATGTATATTCGCCGATGGTTGTTGTTCCAGAGTCATACATTGCTGTTTCGCTTAAAGCTGCTACTTGAATCCTATGTTTCTTGAGTTGTTTGATAATCAGTTCCTTTTTTGCTTGATGAAAACACGATCTCACATTCCATCCACCGAAGAACGTTGTTTTAAGTGCATTAATGCACTGTTTTTGATCTTGTTCATTAGCCAGTTGGGTTTAATGTCCCACTAATAGGTGGCTAACCTAGAAATAGGACTGGGTGGCTACCGACAGCCCAGGGACGCCTCCCACACTTTGCAAGCAGAGGTGGGACCCTGTAGACGTCCGAAGACGTCCCCGGCAGGCACCCCACTCAGTTTAGACGCACTCCTGGGCGTCAAAAGTTACAACACTGGCTGTGCTCAAACAGGCAGAGAAAACGAACAAATTACAAAAAAACAAATTATAGGGAAATAGAAATTCAAAGTTACATAAAAAAAAAGAATTTACTGCATAATTCCTATGCAATATTGGTCCACCATGACATTCATCTATATATAAAAAAAATTTAAGTCTTTCACCTTCATGTTGATCTAATTTCGATCATTATTGCTCATAGCTGAACCGAATGAATGGTGTCGGGGTCGTTGTCACAGTGGCATACTTGTACGATGCTGCAACTTGTCATCATGATGCTTGTCAACGTTTGCCCTTCGGGCGCTACCGTCGTCTACTTGAACATGTAGCTTCCCAGCATATTCATTTGGTTTCTTCTTTTATAATATTTTAATGCATCCAGTTAAATAATTTTATCATTTTAATAATTAGACATCCAGTTTAATAACACTACGATCTTTCGTGCACGCCAAAAATGTAAGGTCTTTAATTTTTCTTCTGTTTCTGATAGTATACTATTTTCTCCATTCGACGGTGGATAATTTTAATCATGACACTAATAATGACTTGTATGCTTATTATCAAAAATTTGTAAATTCTTTGCGATGTACTTGATGGAATATGGTTGGGCTCATGAGTGATGAAGAAATGTGAGAGAAAAAGACATGACACGTACTGATGTTATTAAGGAAATTGCGGCAGACATACGCACATTTTGGCCCCATACCAGTCGTCCTTTTAGTACGCCCACTGATGTTTTGTGACATTGTCGACCTATAATTCCATGGCTCTTATCTCACATATTCATTCCTATCCTTTAACTCAATCGATATTCCTTACTGTGCATTATTTTCTGTTTCCAAATTGATTTGGTATTTTGTAATCGTTAAATATTAGTCTTGCGTTTATCTCTTCTCTTCTAATACATCATCTCAAAATAATATAATTCATTGTACTGTTCCATCATACATAACTTTGTCATCTGCTTGATTTTGACTTGTTTTAACATAACAACATGACTCAATTGGCAAAAAGAAAGTGTAAAGATTGGAGATGAAAAGACATGAAACGTATTGATGTTACTAGGGTAAAGTACGCCAGACGCTACGCACTCGCGGTTAATACCCTTAACCGTCCTTTAATACGTCCACCGGTGTTTTGTGACATTGAATGCGGCAATTAGACAATGCATGCCTTTAGCAATTCATATTTTCGACATCAATCTTGTAAACCAATAAAATTAGGTAATTATTAATTTTGACTACTTCATTGTAGCGTTTCCAAGAAAATGAGACGTTCAATGATGATAATGATTACAATGTCTTGAACTGCTTCGATCAGAAGATATTGATGTTAAATTTCCAACGATTCCATATCCATAATTCGAATCACGTGTAATTAGGAAATATCAAGAGATTATTTCCATATTACTCTCGGTCCATCCTGGTGTGATCGCCAATTGTAACGAAATATTTCTTTTTCGGGTCGCTACTTATTTGTAGATAAATCAATGAGTTAAAATATAACGTTACGAATTCACTGATGTTTATTTGAATAATAAGATGAATACACACAATGAACAAAGAACTGGTATTGATGAGATACATTGAGCGTCGAGACGTAAATTATAAAAAGAATGATTGTGATACAACAGTTTCAAGGTAATAATTCCTATCTTTCGTTTGATATGTTTAGCTACGTAACTTCTGTTTCCAATCTTCTAAGTATTCTCCTTCTTGTTACTACCCTAACTAAAAATGCCCACCAATTCCACCAATTTATCGTCCTTTTATATACTCGCTCTTTTCTCTTTCTCGATTTCATTTTCTATTTCCCTACTTGTTGAAAAAGGGAAAGTGCGCGTTATATAACGAGTGACCACTCCCGTGTCTATGCATATATCTATCCATAATTATACACCCATATACAGATTACTTTGGTGATTGGTATGAGCTTCTGTGATCAGCTAATGTTATACTCTCTCCGAGAACATCTTGATAATTTTTCGCGAACATTCTGGTTTGGTGTGAAATCTCTAGGTAAATCTTCGACAACTGTTGCAATATTTAAGTGCGCTCGCTTACTACTCTAATTATCATTCTCATGAACAAAAGGAAATTCTATAAAAAGGAAACGCAAATCTGTGAATAAGGAAGGATGAGCATGCCTATACCAAAAGTGGGATATGCGATTTTCTGAATATCTGAAACGGTAAATTAATGGCACACCTACCAAATAATTTTTCTGCCTGCCTGCCTGGCAAGGCCTGTCTATTTTTCTTTCATACGAGTATCATTGTGATGGTAAATAGAACCATGCAATTAATCTTGAGAACAAAGGAAACCATTTAAGTTAGTCCAAAGCGACTAGATTGATACATTATTTATTGAAGTTTTAATACACAACAGCACGCTAGAGATCAAATAATATTAAGAGAAAAGATTTTTTTCAAGAATATTTTGAATAGATCTTACAAATAGAACATCGTTTATGGTTTGAGGGTCAAGAGAAGATCGGCGCTCTGTTATAACTAACCCAGCAGCTGAGAAACTTCGTTGGATAATCAATAATAGAAGTTGGATAATCGACAGATGTTTCTAAATAGTTTAAATTAGAAATTTAAATAATAATGAAGAAAAACATACCGAGAATCACAAAGCAATAGATTTAACACCGGTAATAGAAGTTGAATAATCAGTATCAGTAGTGCATTGTATACCTAAAGAATAATGGATGAGTATGAGTAGTAGCTTAAGAAGAGAAGATTATACTAAAAAGATAGATTATTGTGGTTGAGGATATAAATGGTAAATGAACAAAGTGAATTTTGCGCTGCGGTATTTTAAATGGACGCCAGTCATCACTTCCATGAATTACAATCAAGATAAGATAACTTTATCTGATTGTTCGCGCCATCTATCGTTTATGTTGAAAAACTTCTATAGAAAGGAAAATTTTATATGATAAAAAGTATGAACAGGCAGGCCAGATGGCCTGTCATTTTAGCAGCCTCCCTGGACTATCGACCTGGCCTGTCTGGCCTGCCTGAGACTCAGATTTGGCCTGGTTGGCGCTCTGGTATGCTGTTTAAGAATTGTCGACCACAGCATATTTTATCGGATGTTTTATGATCATTTTGTAGGCTTTGAAAAGCTCTATCTGCAGGATTTTAGCGGGTCTGTATAATGTGTTGCTGCCTGCTACAACAGTCGCAGCAGTGTATGTTTTATTGTAGAGATCTACTGTTTGTAGACGGAGACTAAAATCTTTTGAAAATGGTCTGTAAAAGCTCAGAATCGTGTACTCAGAAACAGTACAGCGTGAAATGGCAGTTAGAAACGATTTTTGAACTGATTTTCATTTAGGGCCGTTTTGCGTACAAAGTGACCCCGCTCCTTTGTTGAATATTTTTACGTATTGAAATAAATTCTATCCAATATCGATTAACACATGATCTTTCATCAACATTCGTTAAAAAACATTCGTGTGAAAATGAAAACGACGAAGCTTTATCATGTAAAGTCCTTGACGCAATTAGTAGTGTTTGATCGATCTTTATTTTACTTGTACGTTTATGGTTATGCCTTTTATTAAATAGTATATATATATATTACCTTCTATAAGAACTACACAGAAATGTCGTTAAATAGAAAAATAAAGAATTCTGGTTAAATAATGCTATAAATAGAAAACTAAAGAAATCTAGTTAGATAATGTTTTAAAAATATCGATCACATGTTGCTTGTTTTCTTTTCCATCATGGTTTTTAGTAGGAATGATAGGTCTTCGTTAATCGACAACAAAATCGCTGTTTTGTATAGCAATGCAGTTACATGAGGTATTACAATCAATACGGCGCGATTCGGATGATGAATAATATCTCTGAGCACTAGCAGAAGCTTCTGTCATAGAATATGCTTGAGCACTAGCAGAAGCTTCTGTGATAGAATACCCTTGCATTCCTGTAGAACATGTTTCCCGGTATGCACACCGACATCTTCCTCCGCATGAGCAGCCACATTGGTTGATTATATTCATTTGATTATTTTCATTTGTTTCGCAAGTACTGAACTGATTAGTTACAATTATTGAACCTGATGCTTGTGAACATGTGCATGTCTATGAACAAAAGAATTCCTATAGTTTTATCTGAAGCTATCCTTTTTTGAAAACAATTTACTATATCTTCAATAACACCTGCTTGACGAGCCCGTTCAAGAACTGCGGCTGAATCCAAAAGTGATGAGCCATAACGACGTACATAAGCGTCAGGATCTTCCTGAGTAACACCAGCTTTTTCAATTTTTCGAACTATACGTGTTGGAGCCTTATCGTGAATAATAACTGTATGAGTTGGCAGTGGATATTTCATAGCAGGAGGAGCTGGTTGGACAATCGTACGGCGTTCTTGTGCAGATCCATATGGAAGCCATCGTTCAATTATAATATCCTCTAAAAAGCAAGGAGAAAGAACAATCTGAATATTTGAAAAGCAACAAAAGAAAAAAGTCAGATAAGTCTTTTACGTAGTGTTTCCGAAGCTGGAAAACGCTCGATGACAAGTGATCGTGGTGGAAGTGGCACAGGAGGTAACCAACGAGTAACTAAAAAAATAAGATACATTGATTCGTTTAATCTTTCTAATTCGAAAGATTCTTTTTTCTAACTTGTTTCACTGGGCGCCCGTGGCGGTGGTACTGGTGGCCGTTCACGAATGATAAGTGGAGGCGGTGTACTAACAGCTGGTTGGTGTTCATGTATCACAAGTGCTGGAGATGGTGGTGGTTGGTCTGGACGTTTTTCTATAATAATGAGTGGCTAAAATTATACAGAAATTAGTAAGATTGAATATGTAAACAATTAATTTGTTTCATTACTTCTGGTGGTGGTAGAGGTGGTGGTTGAAGACATCGAAGAATAACTCGTTGTTCAGCTGTTACTGGGAATCCAGTTGTTTCTTTGTGAATAACTTGTGGATTTGG